AGGAAGTTTAGTGTATAAAGTCGATGTAGGAGGAATAATAGGAATTGAAGAGGGAGGTTGACTATGAATACAGTGGTCTTGAGTGCTGTTAGAGGTATGAGGGCGGTTATCACTTCCCGGTTGCCCACACCGTGGAAGGGTTCTTCTGGAGGTACCTGAAAAGGAAATTGGATTAGAGTTGGTCATAGTGACCTGAGAGCGTGACCGCAGTGCCCAAGGGATAGCTGCTTGAGGTCGGTCACACACGACCTTTTTATGAGTGATTTTTGTGTTAGCTCCGTACTTGTTGAGTCCTTACCGCCGGAGACGGATATCCGTGGGATAAGGCGAGGTGTGCATTTTTAGGGTCGACCTTTTCTAACCCCACCCCTCTTTGTGGGAAGGCAGCATCGCTGTCACGCTGGTTGTCTGAAGGAAACACCTTACTGCTGTCACACCTCTGTACAGTCAGCAGTACGACTTCGCCTTCGGACCTTGGTTTTGTTGCTTTTAGTCTTACCGCTCTTCAACCGACCTGTCTGGCATGGTAGGACCTTGAGGAACGGTTGTTCCAGCCAGTATAGCTCAGTTGCTTCATCACGATAGGCAAGCCCGACCACCACGTCAAGGTAGCAACAACGGTCAGGCGAGCACGCATCTGCTTGCGCCTCACTGGACGCAAAAAAGCCACACAAAAAAACTCATTAGAACTGAATTGAGTAATGAGAAAACCAAAAGTAGGTTCCAGGAACAACTGAAGTCACACTTAGGTAGTTCTGAAAACGAGGCTGACCCCGATGTTGATTGGAAAGACATACAAGCAGCTGTGGAAACAGCAGTGACATCTATTAGTGATTTAAACCACAGGGTTACAAAGAACCAATGGATTTCTTCAAGCTCTATTGCACTGATGGACTCTCGTAAACTCATCCCATCAGGATCTGAACATGATGAAGAGCGTAAGCAAATCAGATCTAGGTTAAGCAAAAGTCTAAGGAACGACCGTGAGCAGTGGTGGGAAACGAAAGCAAAAGAGATGGAAAAGGCGGCGGCTATAGGGAACACAAGACAACTCTACAGACTAATAAAAGAAACTGGAATTAATAAGTCAAGTGTAAGTCAGACTATTTCGGAAAAAAACGACACTCTCATCTGCTCCCAGTCCAAACGTTTAGAACGATGGGCGGATCATTTTAGAGAACAGTTCAGCTGGACTTCAGCTACTCTACAACTACCCTCCATCCCCAGACAGTGTGAATGGAACATTGAAGTAGGTCCCCCGACTCTAGCTGAAGTTCAAATGGCTTTAGTTCATCTGAAACGAGAAAGGGCAGCTGGTCCAGATGGATTGGCTCCAGAGGTCTTTAAGGATGGTGGTCCAATTTTAGCGACTAGGTTGACTAATATTTTAGTTAATATCTGGGAGTTGGACATAATCCCCTCTGACTGGTCACAATCACTTATCGTCTTAATATATAAGAAAGGGTCAAAATCATCCTGCAACAACCATAGAGGGATTAGTTTAATCAATATATTATCTAATATACTGTAAACTTTCTCCATTTTTGTTTAACTTCATCATAGACCTACTGATGGAAATAACGCTCTCATCGACCGAATTTTCAGGCATTGAACTCCTGCCAGGAAGTCCACTTATCGACTTTGAATACGCAGATGACATAGTCCTGTTTAGTGAAGAAGCTGATAAAATTCAGAGTCTTCTGGTAGCACTGAGCAACAATGCCAGAATGTTTGGGATGCGCTTCTCTCCCTCTAAATGCAAGTTGTTGCTTCAGGACTGGTCTGTGTCAACACCTGAACTAAGGATAGGGGGTGAAGTAGTCGAACGCGTTGACAACTTCACTTATTTTGGAAGTCTGATCAGCCCTAATGGGTTGGTGTCTGACGAAATCTCAGCACGGATTCGAAAAGCTCATTTGGCCTTCGCCAACTTAGGTCACCTATGTCGAGTGCGAGATATCCGTCTATCAATTAAAGGACGAGTATACTGCGCGGCAGTTTTCTCTGTTCTATTATACAGCTACGAAACATGGCCTTTAGGAGTAGAAGATACTCGTAAGTTACTAGTATTTGACCACAGATGCCTTAGAAATATTGCTCGCATCTGTTGGGATCATCAGGTATGTAATAGTGAGATTAGACACAGGGTATTAGGGAATGATGGTTAATCAGTTGATAAAGTTATGAATCTTCATCGACTGAGATGGTTGGGCCACGTGCTGCGTATTCCTGAACACCGATTACCACGACGCGCAATGCTAACCGGTGATAAGGATAATTGGAAGAAAGTTAGGGGCGGCCAAACCAAAACGTGACATCAGTGCTTGAAGTCACTAACTTCAGGTCTGAGCCATGTTGGTAGATGCAGACTGCCTGGTTGGGGTCCGCGTGACTATCGTAACTAATGGTTGGAGACTCTTGGTGACATGGCTCAGAATCGATCACAATGGCGTCGGTGTATACACTCTCTGTCTTCCTTTAAATTAAGGGATTAAATTCACTTCAAATCTTTCTTTCTAGGAACTAATTCTTTCTTCCTGTACTATCTCTTAATATGCAATCTTTCTTTTATATATTACCACCACTGAATCAACTACTCCTATGAATCCGGTGTTCATCTTGTTGTGCTAATGAGGTATGGTAACTTGGACCGATGCATATATGTGCCTGGTCCTGCGTTGCAGCTGACTGACTAAGAACATCATCAACATCATACGGAATTCATACGACCGACTACACTGCAAAGTCGTGCATGCAGGACAGCTTACAGATGCATTCCAATTAAAGAGCGGTGTCAGGCAAGGCTGCTTACTCTCATCTTTTCTCTTCTGGTTGTTGACAGAATTATTAGGACATTTGTACATCAGAGGAAGCACGAAATACAATGGACTGCTTGGATGCAACTAGACAATATGGATTCTGCAGACGCCCTGGTCCTTCTATCCCATATACAGCGACAAATGAAGGTGTCGACAGCCTCTGGAGCGAGAAAGCAAGATCTTGAAATACAACACAGATCACGAACCCAATCACTCTTGATAAAGCTCTGCAAGAAGTGTAAAGTTCTACGCACCTAAGCAGCATCCCTACATTTGAAGAATATATAAAACTAAAAAAAACCTACAGTATCGACGTCAAGTTTTATTGTACGGAGCTGAAACGTGGAGAACTACTACAAACCAGCAAAAACGTACAAGTATTTCTAAACAATTGTCTAAGCAAGGTTCTCAATTTCCGTTGGCCAGATATCACTAGCAACCACCTACTGTGAGAACAAACCAACTTCCAGCTGAAAAACATTAGGCGAAGACGTTTGAGGTGGACAGGACCTACATTACGGAAATGAAGCTGAATTATTAGGCAAGCCCTAACATAGAATACTGAAGGGAAAAAGGAAATGTGGAAGACCAAAACATTGTGCCAAAATTCGAGGCCAATGTCAAAAGAATAAATAGCAACTGAAAAGGACTGCCCAGAACAGAGTTCTATGGAGAGAAAACTAGTGGGCGGCTTATGCTCCACCATTGGTAACAGGCGTAGGCAAGTATATTTGAGTAAAGTACATAAGGTGGTCAGACCACTGATTTGTCGTTCCGTATCTCCCTAATACACTAGACTACAATGAATATTCAATTTTGAAGTGGCTCCTGTACGGTTTATTTTGATTACAGACAGTTTATTCGGGCACTTCCCGTATTATTGTTGAGCCAATCTATGTGAAACCTTAGTAAAATTAATACAGGATTAGCAAATGATTATAGCCATTTCCAAAAAGTAAGGCGGAACAGACACTAACCGGTAGTGGAACATGTGACAAATTAGTAACAGACGTACTGAGGTTATAGTAATTTCTACCTAGTAGTCAAACGAAATCAGGCCACACACGTTCAACTGAGTTTACCTGTATAATTAAGTACATAGCTGACAGTTAATATGCATAAAATTGACTAATGTATTTTAATCTTGCCGTTTTTTCAAGTTGATCTGATGGGACCTATTCTTATAACCCTGGAGTACTGGGGATAAGAATTTCAAATTTAATACTCCAAATTTCGCAAGTTTTCCCAATGATAACGCAAACTATGACCACTAACTTTGACAGGTTCTAGATTATTATATTCAGGGTGATCAGAATACTCCGATTCCTAAATCTTTCCAAACAATCCAGTCAGTTACCTGAATATGATTTTACTACTATCCTTAAAAAAGGCCGTAATTGGATTGCATGGACCTTGGTAACTCGTGGGGCTTCAGCAGTTGAGGTTCCTGACTGATTTCCGACTTATTAAGTGGATCAGTAGTTATCCACCAAGAAGGACAGTTTGATCGACGTTTCTCGTAGGCGCACCAGATTAGTTGGACTGTCCCTTGAAAAAACTCCCCACCACACAAGATGTTGTTGGATGTTACTAAGTGGCGTCCCACTAATTTCACAAATTGTTTCACACGCCAGACTTGTTACCGACTGTTCGAGTGAGCTCAAACAACTCCGTACAGTAACTAAATGCAGTTGCTGCTTCGAACTCGTTAGCACGCTTACACTACCAGGTTTCTCGGCTCTTCGCCAACTCTACAAAGTTCCCTCACGTAAAAATCTGCGTGTCACCAAACTGGAGGTTCGTCGGAGTGAATGGGCGAGCTTTCAGAAACCTAGTGCTTATAAACGGGAGTTTGCTGAACCGCAAGCGACTTGGCTTTATGAAGACGCATAATGCTCATCCATACTCTTCCGTGAACTGAATGCTAGTCTTGAACCTTACACTGATATTCGGTTGTAACAGAAGTTACAGTCAATTTACTGGTATCAGTCAGTTCAAGACCAGACGTACTCTAACTTCAGTCGTATTACAGTAAAAAGTCAATTACCACAAGTGGAGAATGTAAAGGGAAACACTTGTTACGTTTAAGATTTTGCTATGCAGCGACATTGCGAAGGTATTTTTTTGTCAGTTATCCTAGAAATTAAGTGCAGAATGTGAATTGAGTAAGATATATTTTTTGTAACATAATGCAATTATATTTTCCTTACAGAATTTATGCTCCACAACTTTCGAAAAAACCAATTTTTAAGAGTGAAAGTGACGAAAACACTTCTCATCTTTTAAAGCGTTAAGATAATAGTACATACATGTGAAAAATAGTTTAGTAAATAGAGAATGTATCACACTAACTGCTTTTAGCTTTAAAAAATAACCAAACAGTTACTCCAAGTGATGTGATGTAACAACAAGAACGCTATAATAATCACAATTACAAAATCAGAGATGAAAAATTCGAAGTTAATTTGATCGTTAAATATTTTTCTGATAGGGAGATATTACACAACCAGTAAATTAAAAACATGTCACTAACAATACACATTTATCACAGAAAGTTATTTTGAAAACAATATTGCATGCTTTCTTTCTTTAATATTGTTCTTTACTGACGCCAAACTGCAGAGATATAACTACTCCAATTGGAAGAGAGATTTTGTTGCTGATTAGATGTAGGACATGTAACACTGTGATTTAAACCCTCTTCTAATAATTTAAACTCGTCTGATTTCAAAGAAAGAAATATAGCCAACGCACGCACGAGATGATTACGTTCTGAAGATTGTTTGGGTAGTGTTATAACTTTCAGTAAGATGTCTTTCAAATGTTCAATAAGTACACTAGTGTTACTATGAAGAGAGTTGTTCAATTCCAAGATATCTTGATTTTCTGTACATTGTACTTTTAATGTTGGATTGGAGTTATTTTCAAGACGTCGAATTTCTTCTTTCAACACCTAAATTAAATAAAAATCAGCTATACAATTGAAGTCAATAATGATTAGTGAATTGTCGATTACTAGTTAACATGACAGTTGTTTGAAACATTAATCGATATTAGTTAATAGAATATTGAGAATAAAAGTAATCTAGAGTAAATTAATGGTTATAATATGGATTTATTTATGAAAGCCTATTTCGTCTACAAACTGACCTACATTGAATAGTTGGAATTCTTTAATACATAACAGTTGAATCTGAACAACTGTCGTATCGCCCTCTACCTAGTTAATCTATTAGATTAATAACACATATCGGAATATAAACCGATAGTTGCTGAGCACTTTCAAGTTTTAGATTGAAATAGTTAATCTTTTGATGGTCATTATTACAAACTTAACTCATTCATCATTTAAAAATTACATTAATACTATTAATAATCGTGAAGTTATTATAGTATCTAACTACTTGAAGAGCAGATTTTAAGCAGTTACATAAAAACACTTAAGGATTCATATCCACAAATGTTAGTAAATTTTTTGTAAGTAGTAATCAATCCTAAACAAGAAGTCATGGATATATATATATATATATATATATCCAACATGTGTCTTCAACCAGGCACTTAATTGGGTATGAAAATTTTATTATCTAACCAAATCGAAATGTGCATACAAGCTCATTCATAAATAAATATCTGTCTCCCTTGGATAATTAAACAAGACTTTCAATTAATAACGTATGTATGTCCTCCTCGGATAATTAGGTCTAGTCTAGACCAGTAGCGTACACATGTTAACATCTCCCACTTAACATCTGGTATCGAACTGATATTTTGGATTGGTCCTAACTATTATATTTTTACCCGACAAATAAGTCTCACTTTTTGCTATGTTTGAACAGATTACGAGTCCAGCGAATCTGCGAACGGAACGAAGACTCAATGACACAGTCACCAAATCAGCCATCTATTCCGATGCATCCCAGCTCCGCTAACTAGGGAGAGAAGTCCAGGTTCAGACAGGGAAATATATTCCACAAGCAGCCAGAAGCATGAACAACAACTACAACAAGCACAACTCAAGCGTATATATGCAGTCACAACCCCGTGATGTCACGTTTTTATATCTTTTATAGTTATTGCTGCCTTCACCAATCGAAAATTTATCAGTGATCTGTTGTGTTCAGAAGCTACTGTGATGAGTATTGCGGCAGGTATTCACTAGTTAAGCTGTTGATATTGTAGTGAGGCAGAACACTGATGAGGACAACCGAATTGTATTTAGCTCAATATACAGAGTTAATTGGTAAAATAGAAAAACCGTATATTAAATCGTTAATTTGCAAAATATTAATCCTTCATACTAAACTGAACTGTTCCTGTTTCAAATATCAATCCATTGACTGACATTTCATTGTTCATGTTTTTTCATACAAATTCCATTGTGTTGCCGCTCTTCCTCTCTTGATTTTTCCCCATCTTCTGCAGCCAGCCATTACGTTTGAAACTCGCGTTATATACCACTTATTATCTCAATATAAGTAGCGCGCACCACACTCCTCCCCCCTTTTAATAAGCTGTCGTCGTACTCTTTCTGATCGCCGTACGCCTGTCTTCCTTGGTGTTTTTCGTGACTCACACATTTGACGATCTTGAAACCATCTCTGCAATTGACTAGCATTTACGCGCTTCTGCTTGTCTTCTCTCCGGATTGTGTAAACCGCGCCGCGTCTCTCCGTGATAACGTACGGTCCTTCCCACTTTGGGATCAGCTTTCCCGACCCTGATCCCCCTGTCATGCTACTTTTCCGTTCTCTACACTTTACTAGGTCCCCCACTGCAAAAGGTTTCCACGTTCTCCTCTGTTGTTCCGCCTTCTTTATGTCTGATATTTGCTTCTTTTCCACGTTCCTGATTGCCTCCCTCCTCTCTTTTCTTAACCTTGTTGTCGTCCATTTCTGTTGTTGTGGCCAGGTCTTGTTGTGCATTGGAAGTCGTGGTTGTCTGCCATACATGAGCGAAAAAGTTGATTTCTTTGTTGTTCCTTGTATGAAGGAACGATGCACCAGCAAAATCAATGGTAACTCTTTCTCCCAATCTCCTCCTTTATATGCTAACCATTCCTTTAATGTCCGGTTGTTTCTCTCTGTAAGCCCGTTTATCTGAGGATGATACGGTGTAGTTCGTATCCTCTTGATGCCAAACTGCTTTAGACGGGCTTTAAACTCGTCACTTTCAAAACAGGGACCCTGGTCAGTTAATATCATCTTCGGTATTCCGTGACACGCTACAATATGCCAGATTACCACTTCGGTCACTGTTCTTGCCCGCTGGTCTGCAATGGGTACGGCATCTACCCAACGTGTAGAATGCTCCGTCATCACTAGCAGGTACTGAGTACCGCTCGCCGTCTGTGGGAACGGTCCCATCACATCCACCGACCACAGATCACCGACTGCGGTTACTGGGATTGACTGTAATGGCGGTTGTGTGTATCGATCGGTTTTCATTAGTTGACACTGCTGGCAAGTTAACACGTATTGAGCCACACCGTCTCTCATGCCCGGCCAGTATGCACTTTGTCGTAGTAAGTCCGTCGTTCTTGCGATGCCTGTATGTGCTACCTGGTGACACTCGTGTATCATCTTACGCCGCCAGTCTTTCGGGATTACAGCCACCCAATTCTTGTCATCGACCTGCCAGGTCAGGACTCCATATGCGTTCAATCTCAGTCGTTCCTTTTGCCGAAGTAGCATTTGTACCTCCTTGTCCATTGTTCGTTTTTCTACGTCTGCTGCCTCTTTCATCACTCTGATTACATCTCGAAGGCTAGGGTCAGATTTCTGCTGCCGGACGAGTTCTAATGGGTCTCCCTCTAAACTATTCACCGCGTATGCTGTCAAAGGAAGGTCAGCTTCCATGTCTGGTCTTGACAAGTAATCCGCCATTACGTTTTCCTTTCCTGGAACATGGCCGATACTGAAGTCGTATTCTTGCAAACGTATCATCCATCGCGCCAACTTCCCTCGGGGGTCTCTTGCTGTTTTCAACCACTGCAAGGGTTTATGGTCAGTCTCAATGTGAAATCGTCTTCCTAACAGATACGGTCTCCATTTTTCTACTGCCCAAACTATTGCCAGGCACTCCTTTTCGATCGTTGAATACTTCTGCTCAGCGGGTGTGAGGACGCGACTTGCGTATTCCACCACTCTATCAGCCTGACTCAATACAGCACCTATACCATGATCACTTGCATCTGTGGCCACTTTAAATAGTTTCCCGGGTTCAGGCAGTCGCAGCGTCATCTGACGATCGTCTAGCATGTTTTTGATTCGGTTGAAGGTTTGTTCGGCAGTCTCAGTCCACGTAAACTTGGTGTTGCTCAGCAACTTATATAAGGGTGCTGCTATTTCGTTGAAATTCTTGACAAACCGACTATAGAACGCCGCTCTTCCCAGGAACTGTCTCAACTTCCTTTTCGAATTAGGTACTGCAATATTTTTTATGGTAAGAATTTTCTCCGGCAATGGTTTTATTTCTCCATTTCCCACTTTATGTCCCAACAATGTGACGCTGTTTTTCGCTATCTGCGACTTTTCCTTATTAATTCGAAGTCCAAATTCATCAATTCGCTTTAAGACTTCTTCCACATGCTTGACGTGATCTGTTTCTGTCAGACTGTATACAACTACATCGTCGCCATATACCTCGACATTATCTAGATTCTTGAGCAGTAGCGTCATTAATCTTCTGAACGTAAACGGTGCACCCGCCAACCCGAACGGCATTCGTTTAAATTGGTATTGTTTATCACGTACAGTAAATGCTGTCTTGCTGCGATCGCTATCTTTTATAGGTAGTTGCCAATAACCTGACCGTAAATCCAGCACTGTAAACACCGTGGCATTCTGTAGCCGATCTAATGTTTCAACCACTGTTGGCATTGCACAAGGTTTTAGGTCTGTTATATTATTCAGTTCTCTAAAGTCGACACAAAATCTATACTTTCCGTTGGGTTTCTTTACCAAGAGTACCGGTGAGCTATATGGGCTGTCCGCTTCCTCAATTATACCTTCTTTCAACATTTCCTGGACCTGTCGATTTACCTCGGCCTCTAAATGCACCGGGACACGACGTGTTGCAAATATATTTACTCGGTCGTTTTTTATCGGGATCTCATGCTTTACTTTGTCACAAAATCCATACGGCTCCCCATCTCCAGTGAACAGTTTCGCATACTTTTTGCATAACTCGTTAATGTTTGGTTTCTCCGTCGAGACGTCCGTTGCCACTCTTATTTCAGCCACTTTGCTACTTTCGTGTATTGGCAATGAACCATACTTTGTGACCACCTTACCGCTTCTTAAGTCAATGATCGCTTTTACTTCTCTTAGGAAATCTGCTCCTAGTATCGGTCTCGATAAGCTTGTGGTTACCACCAACGGAAAATTTATCTCAGCTCCACCCACTTTTACAATACTGTTAGATACCCCCAACACCTCTAACATGTGCCCTCCTATAGTGTGGACAGCTAATGTACATGGCTTGATTGTCTTACATTGCTCTTTGCCTATTAACGATACCGCTGCTCCTGTATCGATTAGACACACTAAATCCCGTTCATCCATATTCACTCTCGTATAAACTGCCCCTCTATCTACTAATGCAACAACCCCCAGATTCCTAGGGTAGAAAGAACACACGTTATATCGTCTAAAATATCTACGTCGTCGTCTTGTCGGACAGTTTGCCTTCCAATGTCCTGTCCCTCCACAAGCGTAACATTTATCGTTTCTTCTATGACTTACTCGTAATGCTGCAATCTCACGCTCCAGATGCTCAATCTTCTTCTCGACACTACTTATCTCCTGCTTTTCGTACCCGACTGGAGCTACTGTTCGTGTCATCAGCTGACGAGTCACCTTCGCCAGTTCACAGACATCCATAGGTTGTGCTGCGTTTACTAACTTCAGCTGCTGAGAGACGGTGACAGGGACACTCTCCATAAACTGGGAC